ATCATTACCATTAGTAATCATTACTCTCTGTTAGATCAATCATTACCGTTAGTAATCATTACTCTCTGTTAGATCAATCATTACCGTTAGTAATCATTACTCTCTGTTAGATCAATCATTACCATTAGTTTGATTAATTCTTACTGTAACTACTGTACCATAACTAATTAAACTAGAGTAATCATTACCATTAGTAATCATTGCCATTATTTTGATTAATCATTACTAATATTAATCATTACCATTTCTAACTCAACTCAAGTCATTATTACTATTGAACAGGACTATAAATGTGTCAGGGCAGTGAGATCCCTCGGGCAGTTTCTTGCATGAAGGAGACAGACAGAGAACATAGAATCTTGTAGCACACCAGGAGGCTATTCATTCCATTATCACTGAAACAGCAGTTCAATTAGTTGATAGTCTCCTGCTCTGTCTCCTATCTCTATAAATGTTTTCTTTTTAACCATTGATCTAACTTCCTTTTGAAAATTATTATTAGAGACAAAAACAGAAATTGCTAGAAAATCTCAGCAGGTCTAGCAGCGTCTGTGGAGAGAAATCTGAGTGACCCTTCCTCGGTTCTTATTAGAACTGCTTCTACTGCTCTTCACAACTTGCTGTATAAAATAAATTCCTATTTGTCCCTTGGTGTTTTTTGGGCAGTCATGTTAGTCTAGGTCCCTCTGCTTAACCTCCTGCTTCAGGAAACACTGCAGTCACTGAGAATTGCAGCATAGAAGGAAACAATTTGGCCGTTGCCTCTATGTTAGTCGTTAATCAGCTCTAGTCCATTTTCTAGCACTTGACCTGGAGCCATGTATGTTGTGGTGCTTCAAGTCATCTAAATACTTCTTAAATGTTGTGATAACTTCTGCTTCTCCTGTCCTTTCAGGCAGTGAGTTTCAGATGAGTTTCACCACCTTCTGGGTGAAAAACATCTTCCTTAAACTCCTCTAAACCACTGCCCCTTGCCTAAAATCTATGCCCGTGGTTATTGACCCCATTACAAAGGAGTAAAGGTTCTCCCTATCTACCTCATCTCTGCCCCTCAAGACCATGTAAACATCAATCGAAGCTCTCTCAGCCTTTTCTCTTCTGAGGAAAACAATACCAGCCTATCAGGTCTCTCTTTCTAGCTGTATCACTGCAGCCCAGGCAACATCCTGGCTTTGGATTGAACGAGATCATTTCCAAGCAAAATGGTTACCTTTTCCTAAAGGTTCTTTTTGAACAAGTTTATGAATTAGTCTCTTCACACTGGTCTAGAAAACTATCTTATTGCAGATTCTAGAAATTCTTCCTCCACAGCATTGATGCTCATTAATTTTATCCAGACTGTATACAGATTGAAGTAAGTCATGATTATTGCATTCCTCTTGCTACACACACCTTCAGTTTACAGTTTTAGACAATGCCCTACATCACTACAACTGCTTGGCAGCCTATAAATCACTCAGTCCAATGATTGATATCCGTTGTTTTTTATTAGCTTATGGAAACAGGTAAGATACTCATTGTTTTGTTGTGTGTGTGTCTGCATGTTCCTGTGTGAGACTGTGTATGCCTGTATGGGTGTTTGTGTGTGTCTGTGTGGGACTGTCTATGTCTGCATCTGTGCAAGACTGTGTGTATGTGTGCATGTGTGTGTGTGAGTGTGTGTGTGTGTGAGTGTGAGTGTGCGTGTATGTGTGCGTGTGTGTGCGGGAAAGTGTGTGTGTGAGAGAGAGTGTGTGTGAAGTGAGTGTGTGTGAGTGTGAGTGTGTCTGTGTGTGTGTGAGTGTGTGTGTGAGAGTGTGTGAAGTGAGTGTGTGTGAGTGTGTGTGTGAGTGTGAGAATGTGTGTGTGAGAAAGAGTGTGTGTGAGTGTGTGTGTGTGAAGAGTGTGTGTAAGTGTGTGTGTGTGTGCATGTGTGTGAGAAAGAATGTGTGTGTGAGAGAGTGTGTGTGTGTGAGAGAGAATGTGTGTGTGTGAGGAGAATGTGTGTGTGTGTGTGTCTGTGTGTGTATGTGTGTGTGAGAGGGAGAATGAGTGAGTGACTGTGAGCATTCAATTAATATTTGCAAAGGAAAACCATTTTTACTGATTTTGCAGAAACAACAAACCAGACTAATAGGATAAGCTCACCAAAGTGAGCAGAGCCACAATGGGCTAAATCTCTTCGTTCTGAAGTGTCTGATCCTATCATTTTCGGATTAAGCTGCTTTATTTTGATCCGAGTAATATTATATGAATGTGGGATGTGGAAGTCCCTGGCAAGAACAGCCTTTATTGCTGGTAAGCTTACTAAACTACTGCCTTCTGTTTGTAACAAAGTGCCCTGCCTAAGCCACCAAGAGGACAATCACACATCTGCAAACAGAAGCCATGTGGGCCAGACACAGTAAAGAACAGCAGGTTTCCTTCTTTAAACGACAGAGACAATGGATTTTATGATAAGTTAATAGTTTCACTGTCACTACCAGTAATGTTTTTTCTTATCTCGATTTATTCAGTGAAGGAATTTTAATTCTCTTAAATTTAAAATAACTCTCTTTATGAGTGGGATGATTAATGCTATCGTTTGGGCAGTGTGATTATTCAATCATTCTAAGGCTCGTTTACAAACCTATGAACTAGGGAAAGGAGTAGCCCATTGGCCCCTTGAACTTGCTTCAATAAGATCATAGTTGATAGATTACTCCACATTCCCATCTGTTCCCAAAAACCTTTCTTATCAAGAATCTCCATACCTCTGTCTTAAAACAAAACTAGGATTCTGTTCCACGGCCCTTTGAGGAAGAGAGCTTGAAAGACATATGCTAAAAGACATATGCTACTGTGTCTGTGTGGGACTGTCTATGTCTGCATCTGTGTGAGACTGTGTGCATGTGTTTGTGGGGAGTGTGTTTGTGCATGAGAGCGAATGTGTTTGTGTCTGCGTCAGAGTGTGTATGTGTGCATGTGTGTGTGTGTATATATATTCAAGATATATTCATGGGACATGAGTGTCACTAGCTGGGCTAGCATTTATTGCCCATCTCTAATTGCCCAGAGGCCAGTTAAGATTCTACCGCATCTCTGTGGATCTGGAGTCACAAACGGGTCAGAATTCCCTCCTTAAAGGACATTTGTGAACCAGATGGGTTTTTACAACAACAATACTGCTGCTGTTAGACTAGTTTGGGATTGAATTCAAATTTCACCATCTACCATGGTGGGATTGAAATCTATACTCCTAGAATATTAGCCTGGGACCTTGTTTACGGGCTCAGTGATGCTACCATGACATCAGTGACCCCCATGCTCATCAAGGATAAAAATACAACCGCTTATTTTTAAACAGTGACTCCCTCATTCTAAACTTTTCGACAAGAGGAAACAGGCCCTCCTAGTCAAGACACCAAGGAGCTCCTTTATTGGAAAGGAATCGTCTCTTACTCTTCTAAACTCCAGCAGATACAAACCCATCCTGGCCAACGTTTCCTCACTAATTCCAAGATATTGAACCTTCTGTGATATGTATCCAATACATGTACATTCTTCCTTAAAAAGGGGGGCCAGCCCTGTGCTCGGGATCCAAATGTGGCCTCACCAGCCCATAAATAAATGGAGCATAAGCCCCTCCACACTCTTGCATTCATTCTGCTTGCAATAAGATATAACGTTCTATTATTATATGGGAGAAACGGTACAATTGTAATGGGAGTGTAGGACCTGTGTGTGCATACATCATTGATGGTGACAGGACAGATAGACAAAGAAGTTAATAAAGCAGATAGTATCTTGAGCTTTATCAATAAGGCACAGAGTACAAGAGTAGGGAGGCTATAGTGACCTTGTATTAAACCCTGGTTTGGGTTTTAGCTGGAATCTTGCTTTTGAGAGGTGCACTTTAGGAAAGATGTTAAGGCATTGGGCAGGGTGCAGAAAATATTCAGGGGAATGGTCCCATGATGAGGAACTTCAGTTATGCAGACAGCTCAGGACAATGTCCTTCTTGGAGAAAAGAAAGTTGAGAGGAGATTTGATCAATTCAGAATAAACAAGGAAGAAAGCTTTCCCATTGGTAAAAGGATTAACAACATGAGAGGGCACAAGTTTAAGGTAATTGGCAAAAGATGCAATGGCAGCATGAAGAGGAATATTTTTACAGGAGTGTGTATTCAGGATCCAGAATACACTGCCTGAAAGTGTGATGGAGGCATGGTCAATCAAAAAATTTGGCAGGGAATTGGATCATGATTAAAAAGAGGAGAAAATGAAGAGTAACGGGAAAAGGCAGAGGAGAGGCACCAGGAAAATTGTTCATTCGGAGCACCTGAACAGACATGATGGAGCGATCTGTGCTGTAATCGTTCTGGGATTCTCTGAATATTCATTGGATGCAAATGCATGAGAAGTAGGAAGCCCCCCCCCCCCCCCCCCCCCCAAACCTTGCCATCATGTGGCAGTGTCAGATCCAACTCAATGCAAGCAGGTTACTGACTTTATCTTCAAAACAAACCCATAGATGGGGAGGAGATGGCCTAGTTTTATTATCACTGGAATGTTAATCCAGAGGCCCAGCTAATGCTCTGGGGACTTGGGTTCGAATCCCACCACGGAAGATGGTGGAATTTGAATTCGATTAACATCTGGAATTAAGAATCTAATGATGACCGTGAATCCATTATCGATTGTCGGAAAAACCCATCTGGTTCATTAATGTCCTTTAGGGAAGGAAACTGCCATCCTTACCTGGTCTGGCCTACATGTGACTCCAGACCCACAGCAATGTGGTTGACTCTTAACTGCCCTCTGGGCAATTAGGGATGGGCAATAAATACTGCCTAGTCAGCAACTCCCTCATCCCATGAATGAACAAAGGGGAAAAAAATTTTCAAAATGTTAGCTCCCACCTAAATAATGCTCCTTCTTCATTACATTTCCTGCTCTGGGTATCACGATTAAATTCCTCCCTCAGTGACTGTTAGTTACAGGCATTTGGAAGAGATTACTTATTTTTCCATTTCTGGGACTGTAAACAGAAATGGAATTCAGGGAATGCTATGACTGAAATATCAGGATAGATTTGTAACTTGAAAACTAAGGGCTGTATACTTTTTCAACTGTGGAATTCAAGTTCTGATTGAGAGAATTGGAGACTGAGCTGCATTGAGAGTCTTTTGAAATAAGGAAATTCCCCCGACAGCAGCCCTCGCATTGGTTGAACTGCACAATGTTAAAGGATCAAAGTGTCAGGTAGCAGAGAGAGAAACCTCCAAAGCCTGCAGACAGAAAACATCCATCTCTCCCTCTCTCTCTGTCTGTCTCTGCATGAAATGTAGACAAAAAAACCAAAGAAACTGAAAAGAAAGAAATCTAATAAGACCTCGCTCCACCTGATCAACTATTCACCCGACAAATAAAGTTTGTCACCAATGCGAAAAGTCAGATTGTGCAATAATTTATCCTCAAAATCCAGGTTTTTGATCTACGGGATTTTGTGTTGCCTGACTACATTCTTAGTCACCCATAGTATCTGTGTAAAACTGTCCTTTTTTTCCCTTGTATTCTTTCATGAGATATGGGTAACACTGGCTAGGCACCATTTATTGTGCATCCCTAATTTCCCAGAGGGCAGCTAGGAATCAACCACATTGCTGTGGGTCTGGAGTCACATGTAGGCCAGACCAGGTTAGGCTGGCAGTTTCCTTCGCTAAAGGACATTAGTGAACCAGATGGGTTTTTCCAACAATTGGCCATAGATTCATTCATCATCATTAGACTCTTAATTACAGATTTTTAAAAAAAATTCCACTATCTACTATGGTGGGAGTTGAACCCAGGCCACCAGAACATTAGGTGGGTCTCTGGATTACAGTTCACTGAGAATACCACTAGGCCATTGCCTCTCCCATGTTTTCTGAATTGCGAATAAACATATGTGTGTATAGATGTTTGAATTACTGTAGTTTAAGTGTGCAGTATTATCCATTTCTCCATCGCTTGTTAAACTCAACATAACAAATAGTTATTGCTCTGTTAATGATGAAACCTGGTGTGAATTGCTTTTGTCTCAATTAACAGTCAGTCAGGCAAATTTTCATTGTGTGGTCTCTTTGGGATTTTACACATTTTGAGATGGCCTGTGGAACAATGGGGCAGAATTCCTGGCATGCCTTTTCCAGTTAAAGCAGAACACAGCAATAGAGGCAGAATTCAAATTTGTAGAAGTGTAAAATCCAACATTTGTGAAGTATTTGAGTTGATGTTATCCTGACAAAGTAAGACAAGCAGGCAAGTATTGAAGTTGGAATTATCTCACGATGAGAAGATTACATTGTCTCAGATACAGTTGATGTAACAGAAAACCTCTTCACCTTGAATTTGTATTGGATTTCTACAAGGCTTAACACAAAACAAATAACATTGGAAGATTTGCTAAAACTTGTTAAATAGAAACATCATTTTTACTAAGGGATTAGTCTCATGAACAAGCTGGAAGCGTCAGCATCTGATTTCACAATGCTGCTTTTGACCAAACATGACCTTGGTGAACATGCTCATTGGAAACAGTCCATTTCTACCATTCTTGTGACTCCTGACCTACACAGGTGGCAGCGCCTCACAGCGCCAGAGACTTGGGTTCAATTCCCACCCTTGGGTAACTGTCTGAATGGAGTTTGCACATTCTCCCGGTGTCTGCCTGGGTTTCCTTCCACACAAAGATGTGTGGGTTAGGGTGGATTGGCTATGGTAAAATGTCCATAGTGCCCAGGGATGGTCCAGGCTAGGTGGGCTAGCCTGGGAAATGCAGTGTTACAGGGATAGGATGGGGTGGGTCCGAATGTGATGTTCTTTGGAGGGTTGGTGTGGATTCGATGGCCTGCTTACACACTGTGGGGATTCTATTCCACCAATGTCAGGATTTTAAAATTCTTACTTTTACTTACAGCACTAGACTCTCTTTAGCTCTATAACGTCCTCCAGCCCCTAGGGCTTCCCAATCTCTGTAACTTCCTCTAGCCCCTGAAACCCTATAAGACCTCTGCACCTATTCTGACCTCCTGGCATTGGTTTATATTGGTACATTGTTGGTGACTGGGCCTTTAGCTGTTAGGCTCCAGGCTGTGAAATTCACCTCTATCTACTCCTTCTTTACACAGATTCCCTAAAACCCACCTCTTTGTTAAAGCTTCTGTTAAGTTTTAACAGCTCGATGTGGCTTGGTGTTTGAAGTGCCTCGGGATGTTTCGCTATGTAAATGCAAGCTACTTTTGTTTAATCGACTGATTGAATGTTGGGATGGGGGAGGCAGAGGGCGATAGAGAGATGGAAATGGGGTATCTAACTTTAGTCAAAGTGACTGCACAGTTGGCCTGCTCTTTCAAAACCACCCCCCATCCCCACCCCTCAACCACCTATCGAACTGTTAACTGCATTTGGTGAAAACAACTTCCCTTAGTAAGTTAGTAAATAATCCACTGGGTCCCAGAAAATAATCCAGGTCTTGGAATCCTTACCTGGATCCCATCTTTTCCTTGAATCCCATCTTCTCCAACTGGACCTGGTTCTCCCTAGATGAGAAGGAAAGAGCGGCCATTACTTTTATCGTGGGGAAAGAAATGTAAAGATTGTAGAGTCATTATGGCCATAGAGAGAGGCCATTGAGCCCATCAAGTCCAGACCAGTTTGAAGGTTTACCATGTAACTATCATTTGTCTTACGAAAATAAATGGAAAAGTTATGAAATGTAGGCAAACGAGTTTGATAGAGTTGTAGAGATCTATAGCACAGAAAAAGGTTCTTTGGCCCATCATTTCTACACTGGTCAAAACGATACCTAACTATTCTAATCCCATTTCCCAACACTTGGCCCATAGCCTTGTATGCCTTGGCATTGCAAGTGCACATTTAAATACTACTTCAATGTTAAGAGGGTTTCTGCCTCTCCCACCCTTACAGGCTGAGTTCCAGATTCCCACCACCCTCTGGGTGAAAACATTTTTCCTCATATTCCCTCTAAACCTCCTGCCCCTTCCCTTAAACCCATGCCCCTGCTCAGCGAATCTGTCCATCAAGGGGAAAGGTTTCCTCCTGTCTATGCCCCTCATCATTTTCTCCATCTCAATCATTTCCCCTCTCAATCACCTCTCCTCTAAGGAAACCAATCCCAATCTGTCCAATCTCTCTCCAGCCCTGGCAACATCCTGGTAAATCTCCTCTCCCCCCTCTCCCGTGCTATCGCATTCCTCTTATAATGCAGATTGCGCATAATACTCTCGCTATGTGGGTCAATGTGGATGTGCACAAGGTTTTTCCAGTTGTGGTGGGGGAGGGGTGAGGAAGACTAAATCTCAGGGTCATTAATATAAGACATTCACTGATAACTTCAACTGGGAATTCAGGAGAAACCTCTTCGCCCAGAGAGAGAGGGGGGGAGGAATGTGGGACTCGCTCCCACTGGGAATAAGTGAGATGAACAGTGTCACAGGAACAGGAGAATGCTATTTAGCCAATCTACCTCCTCCACCATTTAATAAGATCACGGCTGACTGGACACATCAATGGATTTTACACACACTATCCCAATAAGCCATTGATAACCAAAAAAATTATTGTCACAAGTCACATGACACCAGGTTATAGTCCAACAGGTTTATTTGAAAACACAAGCTTTCGGAGTCTTACCCCTTCTTCAGGTGAAGCGTTTACTCCATCTGATGAAGGAGCAGCGCACCAAAAGCTTGTCGTTTCAAATAAACCTGTTGGACCATAACCTGGCGTTGTGTGATTTCTGGCTTTGTCCATCCCAGTCCAACACCAGCATCTCCACATCAAAAAAATTATTAATCTCCACTTTAAACATAGATAAAACCTGAGCTTCCACAGCCCTGTGGAGTAGAGAATTCTAAAGCTTCACCATTAACTTCATGATTATTATACATTATTTTTAAATTGTGCCCCTGGTTCTACATTCCTAATCCAGGGGAATCATCTTAGTTCCATCTATCTGGTCGATTCCTCTAAGTATTTTTTTGGTTTCAATGAGATCACCTCTCATTCTTTGAAACTCTAGAGAATACAGGCTCAGTTTGTCCAACTCCTCTTCAGTGGACAGTCCCACCATCCTGGGAACAAGTGAGGTGGATCTTTATTGTGCTCCCTCTGTGGCAGTAATACCTTTCCTGAGATAAAGAGACCAAACCTTTACACAGTACACCAGATGTGGTCTGAAAACACAGAACATAGAACGGTACAGCACAGTACAGGCCCTTCGGCCCACGATGTTGCGCCGACCTATTATCCTAACTTTACTGTAAGCTGAAGCAAGACTTCACTGTGCCTGTACTCAGTTCCTCTTGTGGTACATTGAAGTGGAGGTGCTGGTGTTGGACTGGGGTGGACAAGGTCAAACATCACACGACACCAGGTTATAGTCCAATAGGTTTATTTGAAAACACAAGCTTTTGGAGTACTGCTCCTTTGTCAGGTGAAGTGGAGGGGGGCATACATACACAGGATACATAGGCGGAGAGATAATAGCAAGATAATTCCAGGTAATTAACAGTGTCAACAGATAAATACAAATGGTGTGAGTAGAGCGTTGACAGGCTAAACAACATGTTTGCAGTGATCAAAAGTATCAAACGATGTGAGTGAAGTGTCAACAGCTGAGTAGCAAGTGAAGGGATGACCTATGAATCAATTAATTAAGACTACATAGAAGGGGAAGCTGAGTGAAGACATGGAGGGAGAAAGGGATTGAGGAGAGGCTGATAGGGTGAGACGCCGAGGGCCTGGAAGGAAGCTGATACAAAACATAAAGACCAGCATGGAGCAGATGAGTCAAATGGCCAGTTTCTGCGTATTCTTGACAATTAAAAGAATTGCAGATAGTTAATGAATTTCAAATTCTTTCTTTAGAAAACTCTCCTGCTGTGAAGATTCATGACAATGATTGTGCGCTACAGCTAACTCAAACCTGAATTTTGGAAAATTATTCTGTGGATAATTTACTGCCTTTCATGTTGGTGACCAAGATATTCCGAAGTCTATTCAGTGTTTTATTTACACTATGATAGCATTGGTATGGTTTATTAAACATGGATTTAAAAATGTTTGTAGATCACAGCTGTCAACTGTCTTTCTTGTTGGCTGATTAATGGTGAAAGTTAAGAAGCCAACTTATTCATGAACTGTGTATGATCCATAAAAATAAAAACTACAGGAGCAGATTTAGGGAAGTGTGTTTCCATGTTTATGAAATAGAGACAGACGAAAAAGAACTAGATTTATATAACACAGGTCGCTGCTGCAATGTCGGGAGCAAGATGGTCAAATTGTGCACAGTAAGATCGCATAAATAGCAAACTGATAATGACCAGAACATCAGTTTGCATGAAACAAAAATAGAAATTGCTGGAGAAATTCACCAGGCCTCACAACATCTGTGGAGAGAAAGCAGAGTTGATGTTTCAAGTCCAGTAACCCTTCTTCAGAACGTTGACTCTGCTTTCTCTCCGCGGATGTTGTGAGGCCTGGTGAATTTCTCCAGCAATTTCTATTTTTGTTTCATGCAAACTGATGTTCTGGTCATTATCAGTTTGCTATTTATGCGATCTTACTGTGCACAATTTGACCATCTTGCTCCCGACATTGCAGCAGCGACCTGTGTTATATAAATCTAGTTAAACAGATAAATAAAACCAGGAACCGCAGATACTAAAGATCTCAAACACAAACAGAAAACTCAGCAGGTCTGACAGCCTCTGTGGAGACAGAAAGCACAGTCAATGTTCTGAAGAAGGGTTACTGGACTTGAAACATCAACTCTGCTTTCTCTCTTCACAGAGGCTGTCAGACCTGCTGAGTCTTCTGTTTTCATTTGACATCTTTAGTATCTGCAGTGCCTGGTTTTATTTATCTGTTTGCGCGAGGTTGCTTGAGAGAGCAACATTAGCCAGAGCACCAGTGAGAATTCACGAAAAAGAGTGTGGAAAGAGAACATTAACCTCAGTGGAGCAGAGTTTCAATCTAAAGACTGATCTGGAAGAGATCCCATTGATAGTGCAGCACCTCATCAGTCAGTCAACACATTTCATATTTGTCCCCATTCCAGGATTCCAGTACATGAACTGAAAGCTTCTGACTCAGAGATAAGAGTGCTAGCCTCGAAACTACAGCTAACATTTAGCTTCAGAGCACTGCAGCAATAACATTGCGGGCAGGACAGATATGTTACCAGTTCTTCCAGCTATCGAAGCAGGAGCTAGACACTATTCGAGAGAAAAAAAAGCCTGGTTCGGCCACATCTGGAGTATTGTGTCCAGTTCTGGTCATCTCATCACAGGAAAGATGTGGAAGCGTTAGAAAAGATGCAGAACGTAGAACATAGAACATAGAACATAGAACATTACAGCGCAGTACAGGCCCTTCGGCCCTCGATGTTGCGCCGACCTGTGAAACCAATCTGAAGCCCATCTAACCTACACTATTCCATTATCATCCATATGTTTATCCAATGACCATTTAAATGCCCTTAAAGTGGGCGAGTCTACTACTTTTGCAGGCAGGGCATTCCACGCCCTTACTACTTTCTGAGTAAAGAACCTACCTCTGACATCTGTCTGATATCTATCACCCCTCAATTTAAAGCTATGTCCCCTCGTGCTAGCCATCACCATCTGAGGAAAAAGGCTCCCACTCTCCACCCTATCTAATCCTCTGATCATCTTGTATGTCTCTATCAAGTCACCTCTTAACCTTCTTCTCTCTAACGAAAACAGCCTCAAAACCCTCAGCCTTTCCTCATAAGACCTTCCCTCCATACCAGGCAACATCCTGGTAAATCTCCTCTGCACCCTTTCCAATGCTTCCACATCCTTCCTATAATGCGGTGACCAGAACTGTATGCAATACTCCAAGCGCGGCCGCACCAGAGTTTTGTACAGCTGCAACATGACCTCATGGCTCCGAAACTCAATCCCTCTACCAATAAAACCTAACATACTGTCCACCTTCTTAACAACGCTATCAACCTGGGTGGCAACTTTCAGTGATCTATGCACATGGACACTGAGATCTCTCTGCTCATCCACACTACCAAGAATCTTACCATTAGCCCAGTACTCTGTATTCCTGTTACTCCTTCCAAAGTGAATCACCTCACACTTTTCCGCATTAAACTCCATTTGCCACCTCTCAGCCCAGCTCTGCAGCTTATCTATGTCCCTCTGTAGCCTGCAACATCCTTCTGCACTATCCACAACTCCACCGACTTTGGTGTCATCCGCAAATTTACTAACCCATCCTTCTACGCCCTCATCCAGGTCATTTATAAAAATGACAAACAGCAGTGGCCCCAAAACAGATCCTTGAGATACACCACTAGTAACTGAACTCCAGGATGAACATTTCCCATCAACCACCACCCTCTGTCTTCTTACAGTTAGCCAATTTCTGATCCAAACCGCTAAATCACCCTCAATCCCATGCCTCCGTATTTTCTGCAATAGCCTACCATGGGGAACCTTATCAAACGCTTTACTGAAATCCAAATACACCACATCAACCG